GTTATCATTCTCTGTTTTATAGCATTTTTCTTTCAAGTAACGCGTTAACAATATGTTTTTCTGGCATTTGAGAAACATTAAGTCTCGATAAGAACGCAATTAGAATAATTTTTTAGAGAGGAGCGAGCTAAGGAGCACACTACTCTCGGTTAAAGACGCCGAGACTCTACGGTCTTTTTCACTTTTTTCTTTAAAGTGCCTATGACACGAATTTTTATTTATTTATTTTGCATTTTCTGGTTGACAGGTGTATTTAAAATTGGAAATAATCGTCCTTAACGCCTAACGAGTTCGCCTTGACCAATTTTTTGTGCGTACAAAGTACAATTTGGCGGTCAAAAAGTGCGCGGCCAAAACGATCATGTTACATAGCTGTGACGTATAAAACTGTGAATACACATCAACAACTATGGTGGAGGAAGGAGAAATCTAGAAGAAAGGACGAACGTATTGCGCGACCGGAGCGCCAAATAATGTCAGCTATAAGAATGATACACACATGCCGCCTATTTCTATATACTACTTCACGAAGGATGTAGCTGTATGGCTATATGAACGCGTTTCGATCGTCAACATTGAGGAGATTTTACTCTTCAATGTCGTCGGCCTCATGCTCTGCACCGGCTTTAAAGACGCCTGTTACGAACATATACCACTAGTTAAATCAGGGGAAGATAACCAAAGAATTCAGCTTAAAAGAATGCTGATTAAGGGGCCTCTTCCCACACCGTACACGACTTTTCCACATTCTTTTCAGCTAACATTTCGCATCACTGCTTGTCTTTCCTTGTAACTTCTTTTGCGCTTTTCTCATTGAATGAAAATCCTACCGATTGTAGTGTCCATCGTATTCTGATAACAGTAATGCATCATTTGCAATGAGGTTCAAGCCCTTTCCTGACCGATATCCTGTTGCGTGAACAGTGCGAAACCTCTGGCGGATACTGGCGTAAACACAAGCTCAGAGGGGCCCTGTATTCTCCTAACCTAGGTTTCCGAAGGTCCATATTACGCTCCATGAATTCCCCCTGCCCTCAAGATACTTAAAAATAGCAACAGTAGCAATGTCATTGCGGTAACAACACTGCAACGAGACAAATAAGAAACACAAATTTATTGAATTAGATGGTAGCGAATCCAAGTGCTTTGTGAAATTCGCCGCATACGAAAAAATCATTTACAATACTGATGTCAGTTATTTCCTTTGAGCGGAATGAATTTTATGGCAAGGCAGCACTTAAACTAGAGAAGTTTTTCTCTATTAAAATCCTTATTTGAGATTAACTTGAATCAGATGACTATAAACTCACTCGCTTTCCGTTCGGTTTGGCCGGCTCGACGATCGCGAAGATAGCCTTGTAGTGAAACTGCTCGATGACTTCTCAGTGAAAAATTATCGTGCCTCGTGATACAGCTGATTATTTGGTCAAAAGTTAACTTTTGGTTTACTAAAGGAACTTCGCTACAGCAACGAAATTCTGAAGCACTGACCGAGGCGAACCTTCGCCGCACATCAGTGCGATGGAATAAAATATTATGGCAACAAAAACGAACACAGCTACCCATTTTTAACATAGATTTCGCCAAAGAAAACAAAACACAACGGCAACAAACTAAATATTCAGTAGGGGGAATTTTTTGCTCTAATCTTGATCTGAACACCGCAGGCGAGAAACCGTCTTCGTCGAAATCTTCGTTTGATGCACGCGGTTCTCCTTCAAAAGGTAGGTACACGTCATTATCTGACATTATTTAAAGAGTATTTCGATGCTGACAAAATTACGAGAGATTTTTGGTGTCAACTGAGAGTTTTCACAGTTTTCTACGTCATCACCCACTAATTCGTTACCGATCCACGGAACACTTTTAAGACAAAATGAGAGCACTTTAGGGCAGGAAAAAAACAATTTTAAAGTTTTTTGAACATTTTCTTGTATCGGAATTGGTTTGTATACATGACAAGCTTCATATTTACGCAAAAAAAATTATTGTCAAATAGGCACTTTGATTATTCGGTTCTCTGGATCCAGTACACAATTTCTACTAAAATTCAAGCCTATTTCATTCTGTGTCACTCTTTTGTTCATCTGTCTGGCTCTCACCTTTGATTCTACTGACAGATATACTGGACCGATCTTAGATCAAGCGGAACCCAGCGGAATTTTGCTTAATCGGTCCGATAGTCCAGCATGTGTTGTGAGTGAGAGCGATAGCCCGACCAGCTCCAGGTCAGCTGAAGGTTTGGCAGAAAAAGAAAACAAGCAATACGGCAAATAGCCGCAAGAAGAGCAAAGGGCTCAAGTAATGAGGATGGTCCACGTGTAAGGCGCAACACGAATTCAACGTAAATGCCGCTGTATTCTTAGAAAAGCGACATTCAGGATTTGCATGTATTCATTTACCCATCTCTGTTCCAGGATGAAAAAGGCAAACATTTGCTGCTGTTGCATGACGATAATTTGCATGCCTGATTTGGGTTCATGTTTATTACCGCACAATACGCGCCAGAAATGAAACCTGGTCAGCTGTGGTAATTTTTACCTCTTTATGTATTTCGGTGCAGTGACCCAAAAATTGTGTCACATTTTTTGGCTCTTCCGGATACGGTTTCAACTTTTCGAAAATATTTTGGCTGCCTCATTTTTGGTTTGGGCTGTAGTGCGACTTGGGTTATAGTAAATATATAGTTACTTCCGCTTTCCAAAGTCTGAAGACTTTGTTTGATTAATTATCAGCTAATAATGTACATGTCGAAACTACCGGACAGGGAGGACATCGACATGTAAGCGTCTGATAAAATGATAAAACAAAAAAAGGTTGTACACTCAAAACTAAATGCAGCTGTTGAAGTAGATCCCAGCTCTGAAGGAGAAATGGGCGCTAAATTTGTGAATAATATTATCTAAGACAGGTATATCTCGGTAGCTTACAGCAGTATCGAATCAGAAGGAACATATTAATAAGTAATCATTGTATTTCCGATAATACGCAGACAAATCCGCCAGTCAATTTCCCTGAGCTCACAAATGTGATATATAATGTGTGTAACGTATCTCTGGATCCACTGATTGATTGACTGATTGATGGATTGATAGATTGTTTGATTGGTTAACTGAGTGATTGAGTGACTAGGTGAGCGAGTGGTGATTGATGATGTGACTACTTGCCCATGTGACTATCAACGAAGTCAAACTCATTTTATACGCTGCTCCATAAGAATCTGAGTAAGCCATGACATATCTTCACAAGATATCCGCTCTCGCTATATCAAAGCCAATTAATAATCGAGGGAAAAGGCATAAAGTTTCTTTAAAAACAGGTCAACGGAGGACATATCTCTAAAACCAAAGAGATCATCAAAGAGCTTACAGTATTTGCTTAATGGCGGATACGTGAAGACACGCTGTTTAAGTAATTTACAGATTGTAAAGCATTTAAATGACAGTTCCATCTCACTTCGGTACGAGTTAATTGGATGATGTAAACGAACCTGTGGTCGTGTTTTAATGACGCCGAATAAAATTACAGTCAGGTACGTCAATTGAGGAGAACACGTGCGCAATCAAAACAATTTATTGCTAGGGCTGGCGACTGGCAAAAGATGGTCGTACGTGACAAAACAAGGTCGAAAGTACAGAAATTCTAAAACTATTCACTTTTTGTCAACTCATCCGACGTGCAAAAAGGGGAAACCACCCTTAAGGGGATTTGGTCTTATTGGCACCAGAGCCAAATATCTTTGTTTTCAGTGTCGGTATGGAATACAGTCGTAATCGCATCGGCCACAAGGCAAGACAAGATTTGAAATTTTCCAAGAACTCTCAAAAAGCCTGGTTTATATTATCAATCGCGTTACATGGAAAAGAAGTCGCCTTCAAACGTATCGGAATTTTTTCGATGCTCTTCAAGAAAAAAAGATAAACGAATATAATGAATTCTGGCCTAAGATTTTGAAATTTAATGTTTCAGTTCTTTTCAATCCATTTCTTCTCATACGAATATTGCCCTTATAAAGCATGTATTTTTGTTTGGGAGTGGTCTGTTGAGGTTAGATATGAAAATTATCTTCCGCCATTTCGCTGAAAAGGCGAGCGCCTTGAATAAAAGGTCTTTGGTTATCCATTGGCAATGCAAATTAATATTACCACTGATCTATTCTTCGAAAAAACGAGAATCTAAGTGGAACTGACTGTAGTACAAACATTAGTCCAGGTTACCTCTTCTCAGGGTGAAAATCTCATGCATCGCGTGACACGCTGGCAAACTAGGACCTTTGTCTATCAGTTTTATAAAATACTACTCATCAGGACTCTTCTTCTTATGAACATTTCTTTTCTCATCTTTATATTTCTTGAACTATTCCTTGCTACATTTACTTCAATCAGGAAGGTTAGAGTCTATTTTAGTTGACCCCACAGAAACCTTTGGGCGCCATTGTTTGAAGCAATTGATTGTAATCTATGTTTTATACCAATTCCAACGTAATTTTATTTATTCTGCGAAGCAAAAGACAAGTTTCCATTAAAGAAATGTTTCCTCTCAAAAAAAAAAGTTCAACTCAAAGTTAGTCACGTTCTTCTGTGAAATTAACCCCTTCGTGAGAGGTAAGACCACTATGGTGATAATCTCGGTCTCATAATTATCGATCTTTACATAGATACTGTAACCGCATTGGCCACAAGACAAGACAATAATAACAGCTTAAAATATTTTAAAAATCATAATGAAACAACTTAGATAGGCCGGTAAAACTTTGTCGGTTAATTTTTTTTTTCCTTGCACGACTTGCGCGCTTGGGCCCATTCTGGGCATGACTTTTCAAAGGCTACCTTAACTAGTTGGCGTTTACATCGGAAGCTCTCAACGAAAATTCTCGATAGAATTAATCCCATCAGAGCTGTCTCTAGCGATTACAGAAGTACTTGACTCGCCCACGATTTTTGAGCATAAAACATAAGCACATGCACTCAGGTAATTAAAAACTCAGAGGTAGAAAGAGACCTCAGTTAGTGTTCATGAAACCTTGCCACCACATCTTCGGTAGACTTTGTCAATTTCTCTTCAAATATTACTATTGGCATCGTGGTGCATACATCACCCAGAGAATTATCATGAGAGGCATTCAACAAGGAATAGGTATGAAGCATCAAGCTAGAAACTTATTTAATGGTGCTTAGATTCAATTCTTACCTATCCGAATATAGGACTAAAATATAAACAAATAAACAAAAGAAGTCGCCTTCAAACATAACTAAGTGTTTTTCGATGCTGGTCTAGAAAAAAGAAAAGTCAGTTTATCTAGTGCAGTCGAACTTTCACGTTCTTGGCAACCTCTAACTGTACAATTTCCAAACTCGTTCGGCTAGTTTAATCCTTTAATTGGAAAGATGTCAGTTCTAAATTCGCTTTTACCCTAATGGCAAGTCAAAGTCGAGTTGATGGCAAAATAGATAAACAAATATGATCAGTTCTTGTCTAAGATAAAAAAAGAATGCTTCAGTAGTTTTCAACCCATTTTTACTCATAAGAATACTGCCTTCATAAGGCATGTATTTTTGTTTGGGAGTGGTTTGTTGAGGTTAGATGTGGGAATTATCTTCCACCATTTTGCTGAAATCGCGAGCATTAAGCGCCTTAAATGGTAGGTCTTTGGTTGCCATTGGCAATGCAAATTAGTATTACCGTTGATCTAATTTTCAAGAAAATTATTCTCTACGCGGAATTGACTACAGTAGAAACAATTAGCCTAGTTGCCCCTTCTCAGAGTGAAAATCTCGTGCATCGCGTAACACGCTGACAAACAAAGGCCTTTGTCTATCAGTTTTATGAAAGACCACTCACGACGATACAGACGATAAAGATAATGTCGTTTAGTCACCGCACGCTGTGAAACTATCATGTTTTCGAAACAAGAGAAATTGCGCTATTTTATCAACATCTACGCAATAATGTAAATTCAGTTTCAAACTTGAATCCGATCAAAACCAGGAGAAAGCTGGTCTGGCCATACGAAATATTATTTCGAATGTTTGATGACGATGATATCAACTTTTGTGCAATGATATAGACATATGTTCGGTGAATGTAAGTCTCTCGGCGGGGAAGATATATATTAGGTCAACTTTGTCTTTTGACCCGCACAGACTGAAACCGGAGAAATGGCTTAGAACAGGCTAGCAGTGGTATCATTTCGGTTTCCCATTTTTTGACTTTTCGGTTACAGTCATAGTCATTATCAACTGAAGTTTTGAAAGTAAAAGTCAGCTGCTAGTTACAACTTAACCAAACATCACGTTTCGCTCTCATATCCCATGAAAGCCGATTCAGTAAGTAAGTATGAAGATGCCACGACTTCGAATTCAGTGCGAAAGCTCTCATGTTGAAAACAACAAAAAGGTTAGCGATTTGTGAAAATAAATCAAATTGCTTTTAAATTTTTAAATTATTTAACTCTTAAAGGACTGCTGTTGAATTTCGGTGGGCTTGAGTGCAACTGAGGCTATTTCAAACAACCACTTTGTATTGCACACTTAGCCTGTTGAGTTAGCTGTAAACTTCGATTATATCGCATCGGATATTTCCCCAAAAAATCGTTCGGCCAAGCTTTTGAAGAGAAACACAAATCGGCTTCTTAAGTTGTAATTCTTGGCGGATTGTATGATGATGCACCTCCTTAAATTGTACACTTGCTTCCATAAATTTGTTTACCATTTAGAGTTCCTAAAGGTATTTCTTAATCAGTATGGAAAGGAGACATGCATCTCGGAAATAAAAAAATTCGCAGCCAAGCTGGGCGGAAACTTTTTAATCTCGATGCATTTGGTGGCTGACGCTAGAAACGTGCAAAATAGGATCATGACGCATGCTCGCGCATTTGAATTTGATTATACGAGTTCACTAGCTCTGTAATAATGTTACCTACGACGAGAACTTGTTATATTTTATGTCAAAAATGGAAATACCCGACCCAAAAAATTGATCGGTATATCTACCAATCGATCGCATTAATTGATGATTGACTGATGATGTCACTGTGTTCTGACTATCATTGCAATTAAATTCATTTTATACTCCCATGCACCATTACACGTTTATGTCATGGCGTATATCATAGATAAAAATCAAAAGGCAAGGAGTAAGATTCCCTAATGAGCAATTCAACGGAAGACTTTTCGCTGGAGTCAAACGAAGAAACTTTATCCGTTTTATGGCGCCAAGGTCATTACAAGTAACTTATTTTAAATCATTTGTTACTTTTCGTAATCAGCAATCTAATTTAATCGGTTAAACAATCACACGCAGTGACTGTGTTTTCACGTCACCGGATAATGACCTGGTAGTTCGTTATGGTATCAATTGGAGAGGGGCACGTGCGCAAATAAATCAAGTTTTAGTTAGACAGCGGAAGGTGCATGCGTTATTCGAACATAGCAGAACACTTTCCATTTCCTAGCTTGAATGGAAGGATATTCTTTTCGATACGGTTGCCGATGGATAATTTTAAAAAAGGAAAGCCTCTGAGGTCGTGAAACATATAAGGCCTTTCTCTGGACAACTACACAATGAAGAGCTTTATCAGTGTTTACATGGCCTCATCTTAACTCTAGAGGAGTTAGAAGAATTTGATAAGTTAGGCAAACCCGAGACGCAGCTTACCTCAGTTCCCTTGACGATGTCGTCCAGCTCACGATCATCGGGGCAGGCAAAGCGATGAAGTTCTTCTTTCTTTTTCCTTTATCCTCGGGCTCGGAGGGATTATGATGGCCAACCACAAAATCAAAACTTGCAAATTTTTCCTATTACCTAAATATTTGTTTCCGGAAATGTTTTGTTGAGTGTTGCTAAGATCGGAGATGACATCAAAACCGTCACGCGCAATTTCTTAATCTCCTAAGTATATCACAATAAGCAATTTCAGGAAAATTCGAGACGGTCATTCTGGATAAAATTGATACAAGTAGTGGTGTCTCTGACAATAAGCGAGGTATCATGCAGAGGAAAGAGATTAGTGGCAGGAAAAAATAGGTGCAGGCTTCCTGTCCGGTAATACGAACTCAGCGGTAGGTAGAGTCGCATCAGGTTATAAAGCTTGCCTCCTCATTTTCTGTAGAGTTTTTCATTTTCTTTTCGGTCGTATATGCGTGCTGCATACCTCTAAAGAGTTGCACCTAAATCATTACGATGAGATTTCCCTAACGAGGAATAGGTATCTGATACCGCAAACACTGTGCCAATTTTTCTTTTTTTCTCAAGTATAGGACTTTTAATGAAACAAGTACGTCATTTAATGTTAGAGCTCCTTAGTCTGAAGAGGCAAACAGCTGTAGCGAGTTTTGAAGATTGTTGTTGGTTTGAACTACTGATAAAATAGCTTTAAAATATTCCGAGTGCGAACTATAAATCAAGATTGGTGACATCTACACCAGCTAAATTAATCACCAATTGTGAAGAAAATATTGATTGATCTTGCTTTGGTCTCCTGATGCTTGCTTGTTCCAGTAGTAGAGCAAAATAGAGATAGCGTAGTTTCTCAGTGTCAAAGGTCTAAGTATTCCACTAAAGCGTGGTCTGTAATGTCTTATTTGCACATTCAAATTACCCGAGCCTCTGATTGATTTGGCGCATGAGCTTGTGAGAAAAGTTGTCATGGACTTAATGTTGAAGCCTCTATAATAACTAACCAATTTATGTTTGCGGTATAAGCGAACACAAAAGGGTAATGTTACATATGCTGTTTCTCAAGTTGGCTGGGCTTTAAAATTCCTAAAAAAGGTATGCGAGAATGTATTATCCGCACTTAATGGTAGTTCCTTCTTTGTTACTGGTCTTGATGGCGAAAAAAATTGACCTTTTTCTCGGCGGCGATGCCAGTAAATGAAGCACTAAGGCTTTGACTTTAAGAGACATCTTTACCTAGTGTGTTTTGCTTACCTACTTCAAGTTTGATACTTTAGCGAACTGTTTCATTCAGATTTCTTCGTTCACGTGCGTATGTACCTGTGATTCACAAAAGATAAGGCTGATAATTTCCTTTAGACCTGAAGAGAGTAAATAAAACGTACAATGTGACGAAGTACATTAATTTCGAAAAAATATCCCCCGAAATTCGTTTATTTGATGCTGAAAGTTACCAGACGACACATCTACACTTTACGTGATAGCCTTGATCCTTTAGTAAAAGCCGCAACGTTGCTACGTCTGTTTTCTCTCCCAAATGGGGTATTTCATTTGCAATTTTCTAATAAGAAGCATTATAATTTAATTCTAACAACGCATCTTCGCTACAAAAAAAAAATCATTCAGTTACCTGCATTTACCTTCAACCACAATTATTTTCCTTTATTTACCCTCATCTACGGTCATATTTCTTTATCCACATTCCTCTCGTCTACCTTCCTCTGCTTTCATCTACCTTTATCTACTTTCATTTCCGTTCATTGACCTTCATCCACTTTCATCTTCCTTCACCTGACATATTCTATCTTCATTTACCTTCATCAACACCTGCCTTCATCGAAATCTACCTTTGTGCCTTCTTTTACTTTCATCGCCCAGCATTTACCTTAAAATACCTTCATCTGTTTCAATTATCTATTCAGCAATATTCGCTCACCACCATCTACCTCATCTTTTTTTCTTCATCCACTTTCATTTACCTATATTTACTTTCATTTCTATTCATCTTCCTTTGTCTACCTTCAGCTTTCTTAAGCTACCATCATTGCCCTTCATTGTCCTTTTTTCTACCATCACTGGCATTCATCGTCCTTTATCTATCTCCATTTACCTTTAGCTACAATTATTTACCTTCATCTCATCGTTTTACTTCATCATCTTCATCTTGGCTTTAATATATCTTTGTCTCAAATATTTTATCATAATATGCCTAATTGTCCTTTATCGACTTCCTTTGCCTTTATTTACCTTCATCTACCTTAATTTTCTTCAGCTAATTATATCTACCTTATTTCACTATGTTATTATTTCGTTTACCTTTCTATCCTTCATTGCTCTTCCTTGACCTTCATCTATCTTCCTTTAGCCTCATCTACCTTCATCAACCTAAAATTATAATCATTTGCCTTCATCTGCCTTCAACTGCGTTCAGATTTGTTCATCTGCTATCATTTGCCTTGATCACCATCCATTACTATTATTTATCTTCATCTACCTTCCTCTGCTTTCATCTACGTTCATTGACTGTCTTCTACTTTCATCTACCATTCTCTACCTTCAAAGACCTTCATTTGCCTTTGCATGTCTATCTTTATGTACCCTGATCTATCTTCCTTCTCCTTTTATTTCCTTCATTGTTCTTCAGCTACTGTCATTTATCCTCATCCTCCTTCAGCTAGTATCTTTTACCTTCATCTACCTCATCCACTTTCATCTACCATAATTTAGCTTCACATACCTTCATCCTCCTTCATCCTCCTTCATCTACCTTCGTCTACTGTCATCTACCTTATCTACCATCTTATACCTTCATTCACCTTCATCTATCTTTATTTACCTTTATCTACCTTCACTTATCTTCGGTTACATTTTCCTTCTTTTACCGCCATTTACCTACATCTACCTTTATTTACCATCTTCTACCTTCATTTAACTTCAAATTAATTAACCTTCAACTTCTTTTATTTACTTTCATCTCCTAAATATACCATCATCTACCTCTATTTACCTTCATCGGCCCTATTCTACCTTCAAGAACCTTCATCTAATTTCATTTCCCTGAAGGTACAAACAATATTTTGCATTTATTTGCTTTTATCTACCGTCATCTACTCTTACCTACCACAGATTACGTTCACTTGCCTTATTCCAACCTCATCTACCGTCATTCTTCTTGAACCACCTTCATCTCACTTTTTCTATTATCTTTTGCCTTCATCTACCATCATCCATGAAAAACTTTCAAGAAAGTGCAGTTTTTGACAATTATCCCTTAAAACGCTAAAAGTAGCCTTTCGGGTGACCTAAAATTTAAAATTTTTGTGTGAGAGCATGCTATCTATTCACCCCTCCAAGACCTTTAGTTCTTCAGCATATGTTAATCCAACCCCCTTATTAAACCTGGATCAGCCCTAAGCAGTGAATTCACACCATATAATGAGGTTTCTTTCCTTCAGGTTCTGCTCTGCTTTTTCTGGCAATATCTGTGAATTTTCAAATTCTACCATCAACGCGGGCATTCCCAATAGATTGCCAAGAGAACACTGCCGTCTGTTTAGAAGAAATGATGAAGGAAGTCACCCAAGTTCGATTTGAGGTTAAAATTCTCACGGAGAACAAAACATCGGCGAGACGTAAGCACGATTCCTCTTCGTTCATGCGTGTTACTACCTTTAGTAACACGTATTCATTCAATTTTTAATCGTTATTTTTCACATATCAAACTCTTTCCCCAGTGAGTGGAACATTTGATTTGAGTAATCTTACTTGAAGGATTTCGCAAAATTGCCCCAAGCGCATGCGCGAGCTCTTATGATTGAAAATGGCGGAAAAAATGAAACGGATATCGCAACCTCCAAAACGGCTTTTAAACGAATATTTGGCGGTTGAAGACAAGAAGAAAAAGAGGCATAAATCAGCTAAGGATAATAAACTTTATGAAATCGAAATAGTCGCGATCGATAAACAGAAGAAAAAAGTTAAAATTCACTATAAAGGTTACAGTGAAGAAGCTGATGAATGGCGTGACTGTCAGGACGAGAACATGTTTCTATTCGAACGGCTGGAGAAAACGTATATTCCTGGAGAAATATCTCTTGAGGACAGGACGAACGTCTTCCATGGACATGTCTATCAAGAAATAAAGCGCAAGCTGTGGTCAGGGCGGCGTGATGATCCTGACATCAGGATCGAAGTTAATGTTGACCCTGATGTTTTTGATAGAGGACTTGGTAAGGTTGTAAAAGGAATTCAGATCAGAGGGAAGAAGGTGCATACAATCAAGGATAATGCTGAATTGGATCATATACTAGGGTTAAGGTGGAATGAGAGGATTTTCAATGGAAATGGCGACTTTGCGTATGTTGTCAATGGAACAATAAAATACTGGTTGTCCAAGAGAAACCCAATTATGGAGTTTAAATACATCGGAGGGAAATTTGTACGGTCAGAGATAGAAGGCTTGTATGCTTTAGTTTTAACCTTCGTTAGGGGAGACGGTAACAAGAGACAGTACATCAGCAGAGCTTTTTAGTTTTATTTTAATATCTCATGTACAAAATATATTTTGCATTGTTTATGTTTGCATAGTCTACACTGCGAATTTCAAAGGACATAATTTGTCAAAGGCTTAAATTACTCAATGAGGCAGAAGTATAGGCTCACTGTTATATATTCTAAAATGAACATGAAACAAGTGGGATATAAGTTCAAATTATGTTGTTAGGACTGCTACAAAGGCTTTGCCAGTCACTTGAACCCTACATACATTTTGGGGTCCATTTCCCATTAATTTTAACAAGATGCGAGCAGAATGTAGGATGCTGGCAATGTATACAATGTGATGTACATGTCTTAATGGTGTGCCCAATGTTTGAGCAGTTGGAACACTTGTAGCTGTTTTTGACCCTGGAATACCCAGCTGCCTCTAGGTATTGTATTCTATTTTTCTTCAGAAATAATTGTTTGAGTGCAGCAATTCCCCTGTGGTTGGTAGATCGAAAGTAATCCTTTGATGCCCTATCGTTGTACTTCTCCATACCTTGCTGAGTATAGTGGGCGATGTTTGTGTATAGATTAAGGAATTCTGGAACATGGGCATAAAGGGCATGCATGTAAGGGGTGACATCCTTAGTTTGGTATAACTCAAGAAAGTTACCTAACCAATCCCCAATTTTGCCTTTGAAATGCATAACTTCATCATTAGAATGAAAATCAAGCTTTAAATCACCAATAATATCTATGAAATCAGCCCATAGCTTTTGAATTTGGGCACTGTTTTCACAAGTAGGAAGAATCATTGATATTTGTATATATTGAAACAATTTCAACTTCTCAGGACCAGTCAGGTCTCTGTACTCTAATTTCTTGCTTTCTTTCCCAATGTGCCACTGAAATGAAACTCCCAGGTTGTTAAGGAGCATTTCATAACCTGCCATATATTTATATTTATCTCTTGGAAATCCATCTGTAAATGTTACCTTTTTCTCAATGCTATCTAGTCTTCTTAATTGTCTGATCAGAAGTTCAATTAAATTGTCAGAAATTCGTAAGAACAGATGTAAAGTATAAATGGGAACAAAGGATTATTTTTGCAATTGAACTGTTTTGATTTTGCACACTGACTTATTTGTGCTAGGTTTCGTGCCCCTAGACTAAGATCAGTCATAGACCATTGCTTATTTGTATCCCACCTCTGTAGCCTGGGGCACTTACACCATATGCAAGCATAGTCTTGGTTTGCAGCCCCCAGGCCGCAAACACAAGCCAGAAACTTCCAGTCTCCACCAAGGAAATACTCGATATTATATTTACAATTATTTACAGTAATTATCTTAAGCAATTCCATCTCATTCCTGAGATCAGAGAGACTCTGTAAATTTTCATAGCTTTCAGTTGTTTTAATTATTGCCAAAATGTAATTCCCTTTTTCACCCATGGCTAAATCTTTCTCATTTAATATAGTGTAAGTAAAGTTCACTATTTTCAACCTCTTTCCTATTTGTGTTCCATCCCCACTGAGCTTTACCTTAATTGTGTTCTCTTTCAAGTCTAGTCTTGTTAACTGTTTTCGAAGGCTGTCTTCAAATTTCACTTGAACACCTTCTGCTTCACCCGGAGTGCAACTCAAATTCCATGAAGTATTTAACTCGTTCATCCGTTTTGTTATCTGAGACAGTTTTGGCATATCTTTTGCCTTGACTGAAAACTCACGCCAGGCTTCATTGGAGATATTAAAGTTGTCTTTTAAATACATCCACATATTAAGGTCATCTAACTCTTTGTCTGTCATTTCCTTTTCTGTACTATCAATAAAAGGAAGTTCTCCTTCTTCAAGAAGACTAAAAGTCTCTAACTTACCAGTGTCCTCATTGAAGACATCTACCTTGGTGGCAACATAATTATATAGACCAAGGAATGACAGGGTTGTGTGACATTGTTCCTTCAACTGTTTTTTGACACGTGCCTGATGTTGTCGGGTGTACTGCCGAAAAGATTTTTTCTTTGCTGGGCCTCTTGACCTTTTTTCCAAGCACAAGTCTGCAACCTTTTTCGCCAAACGTTTAAATCGTGTCTTGCTCTCTTCGTCTTTCTTCTGTAACTTTTCCAGGGCAGTTTTCAATTTCTCTTCAAGGCAAATACGTTTAGCTGCTTGCTCAGTCACGCACTCCTCGAGTGCTCTTTTCTCACCTCTCAGCCGATCGCAATCACCCTTTAATTTCAAAACGTCAACTTCGTTGTAGAACACTTTTAATTTATAATTTGGTCCAAATTTCCACCCGTTAACTAATTTCTTCAGGGCTTTTCCGCCTGATTTGCTTGCCCGCTTGAACGCTGTATGGAGGATTGATATCTTTTTCTTAAAAACGTTCAAAATGCGTTTGTTTACTTCCACATTATGTGCTCCTGAATCTTCCAAAATTTTCTTCACGACAGATGCTATAGGAGAATCGTTACCTTCACCGTCATCACTCTTTTTCTCCTTCGATATGGTGTAAATGAGGAAACTAAAGGAAAAAAATGGAACATCGGTAAATCTATTTTAAATGCTGCTAACATAAAAAACATGTAACACAATCTTACTTTAGAATTGTTGACATTACGGGAAGAGTATTTCCTACTTCTAGAGCCGGTTACGGCGCTTGTATTCGATGTCACTTACTCCTTTTCCGAGCTCAACTACCTTTTCCGAGGGTACCCTTTACAGTGTTAAAATTTAAAGTAATAATATTATTTTATATACTTACTTGTTTATTTCGTACGAGAACGAAGGAACAGAATCACCTGATGAACTGCTTCCCTGCTCTCCTGAATCGTTCCCAGCCGATTCACTTCTTTCAATGGAAGTGAATAGCAGCAGTAAAAACAGATATTGGTAAAACTTGAAGGCCATCGGTCCGTGAGAAAAATTTTATCAATATTTATGAATCGCACACCAAAACGCGGGGAATTTATTACAGTTTTCAAATCTGGCGGTAACACGTCTATCCCGGCATGCAGTGAGCCGGAAGCTGTTCCTCAGTCTTCATTGGCAGGTCTGATTTTCGCGCTCAGATTTCTTAAAAATTGACTCGACTTAATAAAACAAACTTCCAAGGACCATGACTTAATTTATGTTTTTCGAACTAAAAAAGTGCAATTAAGATGCAATAAACATGTAAGTTTAATAAACCGTTGGTAACCAGTTGTGAAATTTTTCATGAAAATCACAGTAAGCACAAATTAAAACGACCAAATTTTCATTTTATTGTAAGAGAGCTTTTGATGGGCGTGGCCGTCGGAAATATGATAGAACCTTTTGTTAACAAGGAGTTTCATATGGAGAATATCGACTGTTATTCCCTTGTATTTTATCAACAGCTAAGAACTGTGTTGAGCTCTACCATTCCGGTCAAAGGATGAGCGGTGTTTACACAATCGACCCAGATGGCTCAGGTGCCTTTAATGTCTATTGTGACCAAACTACTTCCGGTGGGGGATGGACAGTCTTCCAGAAGAGAATGAATGGCTTCGTTGATTTTAATCGCACCTGGAATGACTACAAACATGGCTTCGGTAACTTGGTCGGTGAATTTTGGCTCGGACTGGACAAGATAAACCGTCTAACACAAAACAAGACAAAGAACATGCTTCGAGTAGATCTGGGGGTAACTATCTGCCAAACTGTTCACGCTGAGTATGAATGGTTTGGGTTTGGGATCGGGACGGCTCACTACCGGCTATACATTGGCAATATGACAAGTAAGTAAACCATCTTTTTAAACATTCATCGTTCGATTTTTATGTGTTACTTCCCTATCAACGTCTATTGCCCCATTCACGCCAAAGCTTAAAAGCTGTTTTGCTAAAAACGATTTTAAGTTTGTTTCTTCAGAAAGGCTGCTTAAACTGATGTTCGTCCACTTCGAATTTAGCAAATTGAAAATACAAATCAGTGACAACTTGAATCCTAAGGAAAACTGATTTTAAATTCAATCCCTTTCCCCAACTCCTCGTAACCTGCAAACAATGGTTTGTTCTAGCGTATACCCGCCTGACTGTGTTTTGCTATTAATTCTGCCCGTAGTTAGCTCAGTCCACGCTCTTCCGTGGATAGTTTGCTCTCGAAGTTGCTTGAGATAGAAAATTCATTGAACTCGACTATAGCAAAATCATAGAATTTTAGCATTTATAATTTTGCCCGATATTTTTGTATTTCGATAATAGTAGCTATCGAGTTTGAGGTGTCAAAAGTGTTATCTCAAGTTGATCCTAATATTATGGAATTTTCTTTTCTTTTTTTTTTTTTTTAAGCAGATTCAACTGTTTCCTCTGATTCTCTCAATCCTCACAAAGATCTCATTTTTGGTACCTGGGATAGAGATGCTGCTAATTGTACTCCAAAAAGAGGCGGAGGCTGGTGGTATGGCAGCAGTAGTGATTGTGCTGTTTCGTCGAATCTCAACGGAATTTACCCGCATTGTCGAAAGAAGACCTGGGCCAATATCCATTGGGATAAATTAGATCAAAACAGTCCCGAAAGCAGCGCCCCCACATCAACTGAAATGAAAATTAGACCAGTGGATTTTTTTTAAAACTTTCTGACGGTAAAGTGTTCATGTAATTAGTGATTTCTCCCTCCTCTGATCGGTTGACTTCGCTTTTATTGCAATTGTGATTGGCACATTAATGATCGAGTGGCCTTTGCATGCATGGTGATGTTGATCCTCTTTTACGCTCTATTCATTGTTGATTTGAAAACGCTATAATTTAAAAAAAAAATAGTTTGTTTGCTGTCGAAATTAAACCAAAATATCTGTGAATTCAGTTTTCTAATATCTGTCAAAGAAATTTATCCGGACCAATCGATGCTGTTTTGAAACGTTAAGAAGAAATTTGCATAACAAGAAATAAAACGCCTTTTAATTCTAGATTTTAAAATATTTAGAATATACAGATTAGAAGAAATGACGAAATCATAGACTTAACCATATATAGTTGATCAAATGCGATTTTAGAAAAGAATATTTTCATCACATCGAAATTAATTCAGGAAGATTTATATCTATGGAACGTTCTAAGCTACCAGCTGGAGCTCATAAAATTTGATGTTTTTAACTTATTTTTAGTTTTTCGTTTTCTAATGATTTTTAAAGCTTCATCTTCTTAGCGCTATCAATAATCATAAATTGTTAAACAACTTCACAAATACTTTATTTTGCATATCTTGTTGATACAAATAAAACCAAAACAAAACAAAACATAACAAAAGAAAAAGACATATGTGTCCCAAACTAGGATAGATACGAACGGAAAACGCTATTTGTAATCTCTAAGGAATTATCTGTGAAACCTTGCATAAAGAAGGATTAAATTTTATTTTGGTCACGGCATGGCAAGGAAACGTACGCACTTTGACCCTTGATTGTCTGTGCATTGTTCTAACATCTGATGAAACTGGAAATTGATCAAAATGAACGATGAAAAAGTCATAAATTTCTCTCTCAAAGTCACGGAGTAGCACAAATAGCAAATACCGAACTTGGAAAATTCGTCATAAATTTTCGCTTAAACCGTCACATGGTCGGAATCTTCAAAACAGATGGCGACTGATCATTAAGCTATTTAGCTATCAGTCTGTGAAGGAAAAGTCCGAGACAATGAGGTAATGTTTATTATTCGTTTCCCTCTCAATTTAAAATCTCCAATAGTTTGGTTTATAAATGCGCAGAAACGCTACGTTTTCGCTTTTTATGGACTAGCCTCTTTCGTATTGAGAGAAATTGAGACAGTTTAAGTAATCTTCGATAAATCTTAATTGTCATGTTTATTGGATTTAACTCATCGGTCGGATCGGCTTTGCGGGTTGAAATGCTGCCAGAATAAAGTCGTTGAATTTCTGATCCATTACGTAAACGGGTTGCTGCCACCTTCAAGTAGCTTCAAGGCAGAATTTCTTCTTACAGCATCATCACAATATCAAGCAGTCGAGTGTTGAGAATATCGAGAAATATCAATAAGGGAATTATTTATTGCAGGATCCAATACAAAGTTCCCCAAAGTAACATCAAAATAATTGAATCGCAACCAGTATCGAGAATTTCTTATGAGATCTTGAAAGTAAAAAGCCGGTAAAGGGATTATCACGGCTATCGATGCACTGAAGAATCTATTGAGCATTAGAAAGAGGACCGTGAGCAACTCCAATCTTCCGTCATTAGGATTTCAAGTCCCGTACGCGCGAATAATATCAAGATTAGCTATTTGTTTGCTTGTTTGTTTATTTGTTTTTTTAAGATGATGTTTTTTAGTGGTTGACACAGGCATAAGTGGAAAAAGAACTCTTATGTCGGATTTTCGGATTTTCGGGAGACTCGTGACAGGCTGAGTTGTTTAACTAGGTCCATGGCGACAATCTTCCTCTATACTGCGAGGATAGGAATGTTGAAATGCGATGCTATTGCACAATAGTGTTGTAAATGAAGACGTTCAGTTTTAATCCTAGTGATTTGTTTTTTGTTTTGTTTTTGTTTTGTCTCACAGACTCTCCACGAATGCCTCAAGCATTTGGTCGGTTAGAGTTTCCTGTCTTTTCTTTAACGTCTCAAACATGATACGACAAATGAAGAAGGCATGAAGTCTCAATTAAAACTTACCTATCGGCCAACGAGAGCGCGCGCGCTATCTTAAATTTTTTCACTATGAGTTATTAAGGCGAGTATTCCGGCCTTTTTTTTTTTTTTTTTTTCTTTACCGTTAGCATCTGAGTTTCCGTTTGTCTATCTTATACCTAATCTTTCGCAATATCCGCCCGGTGAGGTGTAGCAGCATATATACTATTGTAGAATGCCTCTCAATGCCACCTAAAGAAAGAAAGAAAAAAACAAAACAAGAATTTAAATTCTTCAAAATAAAATTATCTGAATGGCATTTTCTAATCTCTGTATGGGGAACTTTGGCTGTTACTGTTACAGTCTTTCGAGAGAACATGAACTGATCAGCACTCCCAAATTAAGCTTGTTCCGACACTCAAAGAATTCAACTTAGTGGTAGTGCTTGATTGCCAGGGCTAGGATTACGTGGCGATTAAGCAACGTGGAGATAAATAAACGTTTTAGAAATTTTGAAGTACGTCATTGTCCAGAAGCGGTGTTTGACAAGACCCCGCAAGTATCATTTCTTGCGGTGTGCATGCCCGTGGGGCGGTGGGGAAGTGCTTCATAGGAAGAGGCTAATCGGGCTTTTCCGCAGGATTGGGCGCATTTTCACGACGGGATTGACTATAATGGAGTTGCATTTTTCAATATAGTTATCAGAATGGGGTCGCAGGTCTCTCGGGATTTAAAAATGGGAACATTTACTGTCAAAAAGTTGTCAAAGTATTTCGTGCTGTTGTTTAACAATCGGCTGGCATTAGAGCCACAAGAAGTTTTTTTTTTTCCCATAATCATTTTAACTAACTTCGTTTCGTTTTAAAAATAATCTTGCACGGTCATGTTTTATTGGACAAAACCTTTCCGTACAGTGTCCTCAGGGGTTGAACATCCTTGGGTACAAAGATATCGAATTTCCGATCCATTACGAAAACGGGAAGCAAGCTTTAAGCATTATCATGGGTCAGTCACGGCTGACGCTGAACTGAAGGATCTATTGAGAAAGTGGACTGTGAAATAACTCTAGCTAATCTTCTGGTTTGTAATGAGTATTACGAGTCCTCGACGTGTAATAAACATCGAGATTAACCTGGGTGTGGGCGACAAGGAGAGAATAGAGAAAGATAAAGAAAGATAAAGTTAAGATGGATTTGATCAATGTGTAATAAAAAAAAAAATAAGAAGATTTAGAATTCGGCCGATGAGGTTGGACCTTTGGCCAATGGGTTTATTAACTTGGTAGCCAGGGTAGCAGATGATCGGCGAGAACTTGTAAATAAGAAATATGTTAAACGGCTGTAAATAAATGAAAGTCGTATATTTGAGCGTATGACTCTCGTATATTTACAGCCGTTTATTTACCACTTCATGGGTTTATTTGGAACCAACACAGTGACCAGCTCCCGGTAGTTGGTGGAGCACTGCACCGGTATCGCAGAGTTTATGGGTTCAAATCCTGTACTGACAAGCCTGAATTTTTTTTCAGGCCTTCTTTTCGCTACTGCTTAACTAGTGTTCATTACCGCGAAGGTCGCTTTCATATCCACAAGACATATGCTGTAAAAAAGAAAAAAAAATGTTTACATTAGACGTAGCATTATATGAATGCCACATTGACCGAACAAGCTTGGCAAAAAAGGATTAATTGTTGTTATTCAGAATAAATCTTTTGCTTTAATATTAATCGAGAGTAACTAGTTTTATCTCCGCTAGGAGAGAAAACCAACTGTGAAGTAGCTTTCTCGTTTTGACAAATTGAAATATACAGTATTGTGCAAAAGTAATGCAAACGATTATCGTCGTTTATCGCGCTTTATTCTTCCGATATATCGTTCATTTTCTTGACACCTTAAGAACGATAAGTCGACGAGATATCGGAGCTTTCCTGCGATATCTCGTTCCGACGATAAATCGTTCCAATGATACATCGTTCCGGCGATATATCGCTAAAACGGTATATCGTAGAGCGTGCAGAACATCATTACAATATATCGCTTCAGTGAAATATCGTTCCAGCGATTTGTCGTTGAATCAGGAAAGACTCATTGCGATATATCGTTCTCGTGATATATCGCCTCAGCGAGTTTTCTTATGGCGAGAAATGCTTGTCTACTATATCTCGTTCAAGCGAAATAATTATAAGTTATTTCTTATTCCTCCCCCATTATGTTTTGGTATATGTAAGTTGTTAATGTTATTTTAGTGCGTCAGCAAAGCTAACATTCAATGACAGCGTAGTCAATAGGTACATGTAATTATAGTAAATGCAGCCAGTTTAAAATGGGGCTTTATTTGAAGCGCGTTGCAGCATTGTGAAAGGAGGTAGGCCACAAGGGAAATATTTAGATTTAATATTCGAAAAATTGGTAAATCAAGATCAACTTAGTTTGGGCGCTTTTCTTTTTCATTTTTTCGCAAATGCTGGCAGCATTTTCTGATGCTAACCTTGCATGTATCTCACATGCGACTCGTTTCGTCAGTACTGCGGCACTGGTAAGAATAGGCCTTGATCACCTCAGCCAAAAAAAAGAAAAGAAAAACAGAAAAAAACCTAAGAAAAACAGAAAAAAACCTAAGAAAAACAGAAAAAAACCTAAGTAAAACAGGAAAAAACCTAGGAAAAACAGAAAAAAACCTGAGAAAAACAAATTATTAATTGTCGCAGCGCAAGGGGGAGCGGAGGGTCTTTCTCACTAGTACAACATACAAATCATAAAAGCAAAACAAAACAAAACAACACAACATATAAACAATCTGCCTGGAGAACATTATACATTTCATCGAAGTAAAATAACAAGCTTTCTTTAGCATAACTTTTATAGCTATGTCCGATCGAGACACTTCAGAATACTGACCTCGGCTCCACTTTACTTAAACGAGTTTTTCTTCAATGATGTCTTCCATTTTGGTTCTGTGTGCGATGATTAAAACTATTTATGTTAAATGAATTACGCTTTCCCCTCTTACAGCAATCGAAGCCCGTGGATGGATCGAGATTTTTATCAAATGACTGGTTCCAACTTGGTTTTTTGTTCTCCATAACAATAGAGGCTTAAGCTTCATGAGAGCTTTTCATATTTAAATTTGATATTTGTCATTTTTGGGCCACTGACTTATCATGCAATGACTGCTCTAATATATTTGCCATGCAGCCATACGCTGGTCTCTCCCACCATTTCAGTGGCTTCTTAGCTTGGGT